TAAGCGACATACACCGGTATTGCGGTATTTTAAAAATTCATATCATAACAAAAATAAACACCGGTATTCGGTATGAACCGGTATACCGCCCAGCACTAATTAATATAATCATTTCTTAATTCAAAATAAAATAATAATAAATCCATATCTGATAATCCTGGGTTGCTATGGTCACGCAGGTTTGTTTACACATTAAACTCGTGACCACAAGAAAAATATGCCGTTCCCTCAACATAAGAAGTCGTGGCCACGAGAAATGGAAGTTGTTCCCTCAACATAGCATCTCGAGGCCACGAGTTCACATCACGTGGCCACGACATATTATCACATTCCCACGAGTTATTATGTCGTGGCCACGACAAAATTAAGTGAACCGAAGATGTCCCCTAACGGTCACCGTAGCTTTTTATTATTACGTACAGAAATGTGAAATGTTTACAAGCATAAACACTATAAACATAGCTATGCTATAGGCTATTTTAGTTCCCCTCATGCCACAACAAATCCTTTCAATTTAACAATATTCAGAAAAAAACAAGAATTAAAAATATAAGAAGCTATATAACAAGCCAAAACGAATTAATTTAAAGTGAAACTTGCGTATGAATATTGCATATTCACAATGTATGTGGAAGCCAAGCTATATGTAAACCCGGTTTTGTACTTCTCTCACGTTCCAAAATCCACGTAAAACAAAGGCCTGGTTTCATAGACAGGGCTTAAATGAAGCCATATTTAATTTAGGACATTTACGTATATTTTAGAAATATACGTAAATATTTTTTATTCTTAGAAAAAAAAAACATTAATGGTGTGCATCTTGAGACAAGTCAATGACACTTACATATTTTAAGATCAGTCAGTGCAAGTTTCTTTTTGTTAAAACAGCCCAATCATGCATTTTAGTCTAGGACTAGGATTAAGCCTTGTCTGTGAAACCGGGGGCATATGTGCTTGGCATAACATTACGGCGGTATGGTGTTCAGTACCCATCCCTAGTGGTCACGCTGAACAGCACAGATTGTACTACAAGCTATTTAAACTGAGCATTGTGTTTTTTGGGTTTTTTTCATATGTTTGGCTGACTGTTTTTATCATGATAATGAACAGGCCGCGTAGTCAAGTTAGCAATGCTTAACTGTGCGCGCGTGAGGCGCCAGCACGATCACTTTAATTTGTTTTCCTTCTAACAGTGGAAACAACTTACAGTGCTCTTTCGTTTATAGTCCTACAGATAATCGAAAGTGTAAAAGGTTTACCTTTATTTGTTACACACAATAAAAACAAAACGTTGTGCTTTTAGCATGTTTAGCTCCATTTGCAATGCAAGGAAATCTATGGCTGTTGAGTGTAACACTTAGTGTATCATAATTAAACAGGGCTTTCATGTTGCGCGTGCTGAAGCTCCTCCGTGTGGGCGCGATCTTGCTTCTGAATTGTGAATAGCAAAAATGCATCATAGACAAATGTTTGAAAAACAGCTGGCGACTCTGGTGAGATAGAATTTGCAAGATAATGTATATATAGCAATAATAAATGTATGTGTGTTTTATTAATTTCTCCAGTACCAATAGCAGAACCGTTAACGTCAGAGCTTATCGATACTCTGGTCTTTCATAATTTAGCCCCGGGACCGATTAAATACCGGGTTTCAGTACCCATCCCTAGTGGTCACGCTGAACAGCACAGATTGTACTACAAGCTATTTAAACTGAGCATTGTGTTTTTTGGGTTTTTTTCATATGTTTGGCTGACTGTTTTTATCATGATAATGAACAGGCCGCGTAGTCAAGTTAGCAATGCTTAACTGTGCGCGCGTGAGGCGCCAGCACGATCACTTTAATTTGTTTTCCTTCTAACAGTGGAAACAACTTACAGTGCTCTTTCGTTTATAGTCCTACAGATAATCGAAAGTGTAAAAGCTTTACCTTTATTTGTTACACTCACAATAAAAACAAAACGTTGTGCTTTTAGCATGTTTAGCTCCATTTGCAATGCAAGGAAATCTATGGCTGTTGAGTGTAACACTTAGTGTTTTCGCTTGAGCGAGTACATGATCTGAGTACTTGTAGTGTTCTACACCTCACTATAACTTTTCAACTCTACTAGTACTACAAAATGGTGTAGACCAGTGCAGTAGTGTGTAAAATAGGACGTACCTAAGGTCTGCCTGTCAGCAAATCATTTGGGGAGAACGTCACATGATGTGATTAATATTCAGGAGTAAAGCTTTTAAGCAAAGAGCAGCACCTTTTACTTGTGTAACACAACATAATTCAAAGTATATTGAAATATTGATAGTGGGAAATAATGTAGAGTAGGAATTGATTTTGTCCATTAGGGTATGATTGGTGACATTACTGGTTGCCAGCCATGCAGCTTACATTACAAAAAAAAAAGTATGTTAAGGTAGATTATGAAAAACTATTTTTTTTTTGTATTTTGAATTTTTTTGAACAATGTGCTGTGATCCAGTAATCCCAGGGTTATTTCTTATGTATGGTAATTTGACCTCATGTTGTAGTTGAATTCCCTGCATGTAGTTGAGAGAAAACTAACAGGGAAATTGTGTCTTTTACAGATCCTTAAAGTCTACATGCTTCACCTTGCACCATTTCTAAACAAGACATGAATCTATAACTAGAAAAAGCACAAACAGAGGAATACTAAAGTGCATTTGAAACACTTTGCATGATTAGTCTCTCAGGGGCAGACCTGCAAAACCTTCAGCTAGCTGCGTGCATGAAGCCTCAGTTGAGTCCATTTTATTTGAAGTAAGGTCTCACAAAACACACGAGGTATATCCAAAAAACGTCTGACAAAAGTCTCGACACTGCAATGCTGCAATCTCAAAATCAGACTTCTGTTTCCACATCAGTGAAGATGGTGTTTTTGAAAACATTAATTTTCATTCTGTGTTCTGTAAACAAATCAAAACCATTTTTTAGCACACCACACACAGAGACCCCCGCTCTTTTGCCTGCTTTCACAAGTATTCTTCAATACTTATTCACAAGCAATTCCGCGATTCTCAAAGCAGCCCTGCCGATTACGTCGAGATAGTGGGATTGATTAGCTTGTCAGCTTTTCTGACAGAATCGAGCCCCTGTCTTGACTACAGCGAATTACTCTGACTTGATTAGGCCCACCTGCAGCTCTTTTTTTGGAAATCCTCAACATAGCGCCAGCGTCGTGCCTATGCCGCATCACTCCGCTGCTTTTCACTTCTGACCTCAACTGAATGGTAATTCATTGCACCAATCATCCAGTGCTGGTGCCGTGTTGTTCCAGCGCTGGCTCAGTATTGGCTCTGGTAATTAAATGGGGCTTGCATGCGTCCTCTGGGAAGAAGGGACAGGGAAACGATGACCAGGTGGTGGCAGAATGCAGGACCTGTCAGACTAGCTGATGACCGTTTTAATTCTGCTCTGCCTGGGGCTATAATTGATATTTAGCAGAAAGGTTAATTGTAGCAGTGATCTGTTTAAATTAGAGTAGAGATCTGGAGACCAGGGCCAAGACCTGCAAGCCACTGGGGACACGCATGAGAGTTGCTCGAGTAATACACACATACTCATGCTCATACTTATGCACACACACTGGGACTAGATCACGAACACACACACACACACACACACACACACACACTTGCATTTTTAAAACGGACTGTTCATTTAGTTCTGATTGACCAACACAGTGTTCCAGCTGTGTTGCAAGAAAATCTAAACATCTAAATACATTATATATGTGTGTGTAAAAAATATTTATGCAAAATCTTAATATTTATAAATAATTTTTACAAAATAATTGTTTTCTAGTAAACAAGTGGCTATAATTACTAATCTTTTTCACAGAAAATAATTTTTCAAAAGTAATTTTCCAGAGGTCTGGCAGTAATCAGGCCTGGGTTTGGCTAGTGAAATTTAACTCCGCTTTCTAAAATAATGTGGTTCATCACAGTTCTTTCATGATTTAACAGGAGGGGGCAATTAATTTTTCACGTAGTGCCAGGCAGGTTTGGACAGTTTTTCCCTTAATAAATGAAATCATCATTTAAAAACTGCATTTTGTATTTACTTGCATTATCTTTGTGTAATATAAAAAATTGTTTGAAGATCTGAATCTTTTAAGTGTGACAAATATGCAAAAAATAAAAAAAAAACTGGAAGGGGGCAAAAACCTTTTCACGGCACTGTATGCATGTACACATACTTGTTCTCTGTTCAAAATAAGGTTTGTGGGCACACTATCATGTAAGCTACAATAATGAAAATAATATGGCCAAGCCTTTAGACAAAATACAGATCAGTCTGTCATTTCATTTGTATCTTTATCTGCAGATGATCATCCAAACATAGGACAAGGTCAGTGAATGTCATTTCCAGGTGAGCTGTGGCCCTTTTGCATGCATTCAAATCAGTGGATCTTCAAATGCAGGCCAAACAGGTAGTTTCGAGAGCATCCCTAAGCTCCTCCACCAATTCATGCCTTCATAACCGCCTACATTTCACCGTTTCAGCAAAAACAGCACCTTCACCTGCCCTCCACACACACTTTGGGTTTCCCTGTGGGTTTTCACGTGCTAATGCTCTGGGCGCACCAGATGAAAGTGGTAAAGACAACAATACCCGATTTCCAGACACAACTAGGCACTTCTTGGGAAGTCAAGCCTAAAATTTCCAAAGCAAACAGATGAAAGAATCACCTTGCTTTGTTGTCCTTGGATTAGAATATTGTCTCTCTTTAAAGTCTTCCTGTTGTCTTGTAGTGTCCATGTCCATCCCAACAAAGACATTGTTTTGCTGAGATAATATGGCTCTGCTTGAGGACACAAAAGTGCATCATTTCACAGTGGTGCTCCAAACATGTGGGAAGAGCTGGGTTTTCTAGATCATGTGTTATTGTAGGGTTACAACAGCAATAGAAAGCTCTTGTCCTACTTCTAACGTGTTATTTTTCTTTGCTCTATCTAGTCCTTGAGTCTTCTGAGCCAGGCTGGGAAGAAAATGGAGGAGACGGAGGTGAACACAGCACCCAGGAGCATCTCCAAAGATCGGCTCAGTGAGGTAAGCACAATGAAGTGTGTCATCATGACGGCAGTATTCACAAAAGAAATATTCACAGTATTCCCTGCGCCTGGCTGGTGTGGTTTCTTAATAATGCAGCCGAATATCTTAGAGAAAAAGTAGTGGTAGGGTGTCGGTTAGGGCCTGAATGAAGAAATAATGTGATTGAGAGAGGGGTAATGAGAATTTGTGTCTAATTCTCCCGAGACTAGCTGAAGACGCGTCCCTAACTAACGCCTGTCAAACGCGTATCCGAAATCCCCAGCAAATTCGTTCGGATGGATCCGTAATACGGAGACGGCGAGGCTGCGCGCCTCAGCGAGCCGAGGATGAAGGGAGGAGAAGATGATGAAAAGAATAAAATGTTTTTAATGAAGAGATTAAATGTGATGCTTAGGCTGTTAAGGATTCGGAGCGAAATTTCTGTCTTGGCTTTCCCCCTCCCACCCTTCACCGCCATCATTTATGAATTTGTGCAAAAGGCTGTTTTTCATAAAAAAGTCAGAGAGGGAGAGCGAGGAAGAGAGAGAAACGAGCTCGAGGCAGATAAAAGCGTGATCCAGGCTGACAGTTTTGACAGCAAAAAGCGACAGAACAACGGGCAGACAGAGAGAAGGAGGGAGGGCTGAAAGACTGCAGAAAATTGCAGACTGTAATGGCTGACAGTGCCAGATATGACATTTCCCTCTAATCTCCTGCCAAAGAAATGGTGCAAAAATGCAGAGCGCCATATCCGCGTCATCTGTAGGCCTATCTGTCCATCTCGGAGCGAGAGAAAGACACAGACAGACGGAGATCCGCCGAGCCCGTTCTTTCCCGTCCCCCTTTGTAAACAGGATCATCTTTCATCACTGTCACGTCGTTAAATGGTGTAAAAAATCTTCCCTTGTGATTCGCCATACATGCTAATTTTCTTTGCATACCAAATACGCTTTTCATACCCACTTCAAAGACGCTTAGGCGTGTGCGCCGCCAGCTAACGATCTCTGCGCTTCAGAGGCGGATAGAACTGGATTTCTTTTTGGTCGCTGGAGTGTCAGAAGGAAATGGAAACAAGCGAGGGGGATGGCAGTGTCTCAAAGAACTGGGGGCACGAGCGCAGTGATTTAAAAAAACAGCCGATGTGGGGGCTTGCCATTTTAGCGGTGCACGTTCGTTAAGATCTTCTTATTTTTTACGGAATGCGTCCACTTGTTTAGCGTGGCTTCGGTTCTTGTGAAGATAGTACAGAAACAGTGTGTTAATGATTTAATGAGGATAGTCCGACAAAACTCTTTCATTCGACTGGAATGAAAACGAGACTGTTGAAACAGAAGTAGAGTCTACTCTCTTAGGCTACATGCAGATCACAGCTGAATATGGTTCAAATCTGATTTTTATTTTCATGCTCAAATGTGACACAGATCTGGTTTTTGAATGACAGTCTGTACAGTGTTTCTGACATTTTCAATTCCGATCTGGACCTCTTTCGAATGTGGAAATCACTCAGCTTTGTATGTGATGTTTTTGCAGTGTGATCTTGATGTCAACATTCCTGACTTTCACACTAATCAAACTCAACATTCAGGAATCGTATACTTGATTTGCACTGCGTAATGTTAATGTGTTCACAAAGAAAATCAAAAACGATGTTACAAACGATTAAATATTATGTGGAAAGACACGTTTTTAATGTTCCATCACCCGAATGATTGATGTGTAGTTACACGACAACATACAACAACTACAGTTTTCTGAATAAAGATCGACATTTTCTGATGAAATTGTAAGTTGTGATTAACTGTTCAAAACACATAGGCACAGGGTATTGTGGGCTGTTGCCAAGGTGTTGCTATGTGGTTGTTAACATGTTTTAAGCCATGTTGCTGGTGTTCTGGATGGATGTTAAGTAGTTATTAAGGTGTATTCTGGTCCCTAGATGTGGCTTGATTCCCTCTTTTAGTATACACTACAGCTGAAAAGTTTGGCCAGTAAGATTTCTTACTGAAGAAGGGGTTAAGAAGGGGTCATCTGATGCTACATGCACTTTTACAAGTAGTTTGAACTGAAATGTGTGTTGGCAGTGTGTGTACACAACCACCCTATAATGATAAAAATCCACCCAGTGTTTTTTTTTTATCTACTAAAATCTTTACCCCTTTCTCAAATCGAGCCGATCTCAGATGTCTGTATGTGTGACGTCACACAGACAAGCCCCTCCCACGATAGTTTGATTGACAGTAGTGTTTCAGCACAGACTGGACTGGTGTCTTACCTTAGACCCGCCATTGTTTCACCGCCGTAGCAGATGTAGACAAGAATGACTCCTAAGCGATTGAGGTGTTCTGTTGTTGGATGTAATAATGAACATAGCAGTCGTCATTTACTCCCGACATCTGAGCCGCTGAACTCGCAGTGGATTACATTGTTTCTGAAGGGAATGCGCCCCCGATCTACATAAATCTATCTGTCTATGTTCGCGCGAATCATTCGTGATCCAGCCTCATCTACAGAAGAAGTGAGTATAATGTTTTATAATGAATCTTTGCAAATCGCCTTTCATAATAATGTGCCAATTAGCAAGTTTCACAATGAATGCGGCTAAAGTAAACAGTCCC